AGCTCCTATCTAGAGATCCCTCTGGGGTTGGGGCAGAGCCGTCCGGGGTAGAACTGGTGTCTCTCTCAGACCCGGTGCCCACTGGAAAACCAGCATCTGGAGCCTTACATGTGCCCGGTGACAAGCTGGTACCTGGGGCCAATGGAAAACCTCTGGGCTACGAGACACCTGCGTTTGGGGCAACAACCATGTCTGACAAAAAGCCTGTGCCTCGGGCAGAGCCTGCACTCAGTGAAAAAACAATGTCCGGCAAGAAACCCCTGTGTAGGGAGAAGCCTGCATCCACTGGAAACCCAGTGTCCAGTGAAAAACATTTGTCTAGAGATAAGCCTGAATCTAGTGAAAAGCCAGTCTCCAGTGAAAAGCCAGAATCCAGTGAAAACCATCTGCCTAGAAATAAGCCAGAGTCCAGTGAAAGGCCAGAGTCCAGTGAAAGGCCGGAGTCCAGTGCAAACCATTTGTCTAGAGATAAGCCTGAATCCAATGAAGAGCCAGAGTCCAGTGAAAAACATTTGTCTAGAGACAAACTTCCCCCCATCCCTACATCCCCTGGGAAACCAGTGTCCAATGTAGTACCAGTGGCGAGAGATAAGCCTGCAGCTGGGGGCAATCCCACATCCAACTTGGTGCCCTCCCTTTTGAAGCCGCTGCTCGGGTTGGATTCTGGTGGGAAAGACAATGCAGGGAAGAAGGATGAACAGGACAGTGACAAGGACCAGGGCCAGGAGGTGTATGATGATGATGACAAGTACGAGGAGGACGATGATGCTGATGATGCCGATGAGTATGAGACAGACTATGAGGATGAAATCAAGGATGATGAGGATGCAGATGAGGACAAGGAGGAGGATGATGGCTGGGCTGACGATGACAAGGACAAGGATGAGGACGAAGATGAGGACGAGGAGTCGGGTGGGTCTGCAGAGGATGATGATGATGATGATGATGATGATGATGACGATGACCTGAACCTCACGGACAGCGATGAGGGCCAGGATGACCTTGGCCCGAACCTCATGGTCATGGACACTGACGACACAGACGTGGACGCGAAGAATGACTACAGCGATGAGAACGAGTACGGCGAGGGTGGCGGCGAAGTCAGTGACTACAGTGACGAATACGGCGACGACAGCGATGACTTCAGCAATGATGACAGCTATGGCATATGGTGGTTCTGATGGGGCCGCAGAGTGGGCCCGACTGGGGGGAGACCCGTCGCCTGCATGGGGTGAGGATGTGGAGCCATGTGAGGAGGAAACCTTGTACATGAGCACGTGGAGCGCCGAGGGTCCCCGCACTGCGAGGCCCAGCCAGCCCTGCTCACACCCCGACATCCACCGTGCGGCCGCTTCCCACCACTGCCCCGAGCTGGCACATGCTGTGGTCACACCTGTGTCTGCTGTGTGGCCGCACCCTGGGTCCCCAGCACTGCCCGTGCAGCATCATGGTGGTGCAGCAGTCCACGCTGCCCCAGCTGTGGCCCCTCACGGCCCAGGAGCTCGAGGCAGGCCTCTAGCGGTCTGTGGTAGACACAGACTCCTGGGGGCTCTGTCTATGTGGGACCGCGTGCTGGACACTAGCCGTGCCGTGGAAAGCCGGAGTTGCCCCTGTTCCTCCCCCTGTGGTGCCAGTGCTCACTCCCTCCTTTATTGTTTGGACACAAACAATGTCCCTTCTCAATAAAGCTGAATGTGAGCAGCACCCAGCTGGGCCGTGGCTGATGCATGCTGGCTGCACCAGTGCAGCAAGAGTCTCTTGGTGACTGGGCCAACTGGGAGAGCGCCAGCTGCCTTTCTCCCCAGCGAATGGCTAAGACCTCTTGGGGGGCATGATCCTGCTTACGTGCCTATCACACACCTAGCTTTGATGGCACTGGCCATGCGACGGGGCCGGGCATGAGTGGAAGCGTGTGCAGGCTGAGCCCTGCATCCCCGTTCCCAGCAGCAAAAGTGCTCTGCAGCGGGGCCCATGGCATGGGCAAGGGGACCCCTGCCCGGGGCAGGTCCAGACGCAGGAATGACAAAGCGGAGGCCAGGCGCTGGGTGCATCCATCAGTGTTTATTGGGAAAAGGAGGGGCCCAGGGACCCATGACCAGAGCCTCAGCTCCTGCCCCTTCCCCCCCACCCCCCGCACCCTCAGGGGGACCTTGCTACCCAGGGAAGGGGTGTCATGGCAGGGGGCTTGCTCAAGCCCCTCCAGTGATTTGCACCCTCCCACCCCCC